GATGCTTCTGTGACACGGGAGAGGGTGTCTTTACTCGTACATTCTTCACCCTTAATGGTGTGTTCATGCTTATTGATAGTTTGAAACTGTTTTTACTTGGTGGCCCTTCTGGGCTCTCTCCCATCTTTCCACCTGTTTAAATTCTGCGTAGATTCTAGGATGTCATTTCTTAATCCTCAATTTTTCATTAATCTGTTAAATCTTAGAATTCCATTAAAATTTGATGTTTGTATTTTGCTATTATAAACCATGTAACATGATATGTGTTTTCACCACCAATGCTGTGAAAATGCCCTTTCGGAGGGTAGGAGACTAGACCTTACTAACAGTCAGCACCTAGAGAAGTACACCTGATCACTCAGCATTCCCTGAACTCCAGTGAGGCCCTCCTGCCTAGGGAGAAGGGTGGGGCAGGAAGTGGCTGCCTTTGGCTCGTCCTGGAGAAGGGAGTTGGCAGAAGAAGACGCTAAAGATGCTAAGCAGGTTATGCTTCAAAAAGGCCTGTCGTTATTGCTGGGGCGCAGTGAGACTGTGGAGACCCTTTGGAAGCTTCAGTGGTAATTCAGGAATTGAAATCAGGACAGCCTAGGGAGGGGCAGGACAGATGGCCCAAAGCTGGTGGGAGAGCAGGGTCTGGGGAGGACGGGGTGCTCCCTGTGGTGGCAAAGGTGGTTTACATTGAGGCTGGTGTCGTGACAGTGTTAGCTGATGCCCATCCCAAGAGGGCACAGATGGGTATACAGTCAGCCCAATGTCATGTATTTAGGAAACAATGAAGGAGTTTTTTCTTTTTGGTGAATTACAAGAAGGATCCTTTGAGCACTAACATTTTTATATCAAACAAGCAAGTGCTGTATATTTCTGTTTTCAGTGTATGATTCTTTCATGTGTACCTGCTATAGACATCTTTCTAGGACAAGGAAATATGTTAGGCTCATGTTATTTCCTAGCCAAAATGTTTTTACAGGCAAATAAAAGAACCTGTGTGTGATTTTGCACTTAACGCACACTGATATTTTTCTTGATGAAAGTGGAGATTTGGATTTGAAAAGCCACGCTTCCATTAGGTGCTATTTGATGTGTGCCAGTTCCTCCACGGTCCCATGTCCCCTCTCCTCTCTCCCTTTCATGTATTTCCTGGCTTGTCAGTGGGAATACACGACTGGACTGCGTTGTTTAAGCTGGATTCCTGGCTCCCTGTGCTGTATATTCCCTTTTGTTGGCAAAACACTCAATTCGGCTTTCCTCCTGTTAGTGGAATTCATGATCGAGAATTGGCTAAATGATTCATTTTGTTTCTGCTCCTGCTTTAAAAGAAGAGAAACCAGCAAGACAAACGTATTCCACAGATTATTTCATTTCTGAAATTTTAGCAGAAATAAACAAGATGATTAACTTGAAGTGTAATTCATAGTCAATGAGTCAAAAAGAAATACTTTAGTTGCTGAGTACAGCTAGCTCAACTAGCCTGCCTCCTAAAATGTAATTTGCTTTTGGCAAGATTCCATGTGGCTTTATGCTTAAATTTGCAAAAAGTTCCCCAACACTATCTCAGTATTTCAAACAGTATTTAAAAGAGTTACTGGCAACACTGATCTGAATTCATATGCACTAGAAGGTAGATAACATCTCTTGGGTTTCTGGAGAAAATACATAAGTATTAAAATGGATAACTTAATAGTCTTGACACTTGGAATGTTTTAAAAGGAAGGGGAAATTGCTTTTTGTTCTGTGGTTTATTTTGTAACCTATTTGGGTTACAATGTATGTAAAAAGACACAGTTTTTTTTTAATCTAAAAAACTAAGTTGGGATTGTAACTTTAAAAAAATTCTTTACATTTGCTTTTTGTCAGTATAGTTTTGCAAATCTAGAAAATACAAGAAACTGAGGACAGCTTTCAGGGAAAGGCCAGAATGTGAACTTGGCATTAAAGTAACTTCTCCAGTGCTTGTAGCTATTCCCAGGTAAACTGCAGCTAGGCATGAAGAAGGCATTCCTGTCATAATTTGGGTGCCTTTTTGCACTAGATTTTTATGGGAAATATGAGAAAATGCCCGTAAATTGAGAAATGCATGAAGAACCCCTTTGTGAAACAGACCCATTATCCAGTTTCAACAATTACAGGTCATGGCCAACCTTGTGTCACTCATATCCCACCACGTCTTCCCTCTTGCTGTCCATCATCGTGAAGCAGATTCCAGACATTATCTCATTTCATATGCATATATTTTGGTATGTACTTCTAAAAGAAAAAGACCCTTTAAAATTATAACCACAACACCATTATCACACTTTAAAAATTAACAGTGATTCTCTAGTATCATATCCAGTCAGTGTTTAAATTTTTTCTCATCAGCGGTTATTTTTAGTCGTGTTTTGTTTAAATTCAAATCTGCACTTTGATATGTCTTTTAAGCTCTTTTAGTTTAGGTGCCCTTTTCTCTCCCCGCTCCACCCGCATCCCCCCAGGTCCCCAATACAACGCGTCTGTTGAAGAAACTCCCTTCATTGTTTCAGTGGGATTTGCAACATTCTAGATTCAGCAGTTTCTATCCCTCTGGTGTCATTTAACACATTCCAGTGTGTTCTGTATTTGATGTAAACTGGTAATAAAGGGCTTGATCAGATTCAAGTTTAATTTTCTCTTTTGGACAGGGCTCCTTGGACGGTGTGTGTGTGTCCATCAGGCATCTGGATGCTGGCCTCCCTTTCTGTGTGTTAAGGTTGTTACTCAGTTCAAAGCAGCTGATTTAGCCTGAACCCCTCCATTAAAAAGTACCCTTTCAGCTTTTCGCCTAATTATTTGAGCATCCATTTATAATCATTGCTTAAAACTATTATATCAGAAAGAAGAGATACTGTTTCTTTAATGTAAGTTTTGCAGACTGGCGTGTACCTGAGTGACAGGTCTGCAGGAGTGTCTTGCTCAGTGTGATGATTCAGCTTTTGCCTTGAAAGCCAAGTGAGAGAATCTTTACTAAGAAACAGCGGTCAGCTTAGAAGCTCTGCAGTAAAAAGAAGCCCAACATGGCCCAATCATCTCTCTAGGGAGTTGGCATTCTTAAGAGATGTTTTCTCAGGCCCAGGCCTAAAAGGGATAAGGCAGTTTCTTTTGTTTTGTCTTTATTTTTGTTAAGGACCAAAGCTTGGACATCTTCAGGCTTTTAGTGTCTGCACTATTTGTACATTAACGAAGTGTTGGAAAACACTACTGAAATATCCCCATTCCTTTAACCCAATTCTCCACTGGGTTTGGAGTCAGAGCAGCCATTGGTCCCCATCATGGAGCCTCGCCTGGTGTTCGTTGATGGTTGCCCATCACCAGCCTCGGAGGAATGCAGGGAAGGGGAACCCATCAGTTGGGAAGGCCTGGGAGGGTGACCCAACCGGGAGCCACTTGTTGAGAGGAGTCCAAGGTGGGCTGACTCTTCACATTGGAAGGTAACTTAGAAATGATCTAATATGACTTCTTTGTCAATTCGGAGAACCCCCTGCAGAACAATGTGACCAAAAGGCAGGTACTTTTCCTGACATTTTGTGCCCGTATGGTGCTCCTGTCATCCTGCCTCTTTAATTCTGTGAAGCTTCTTTTCACTGTTGGATTGTACATTCCACGGGGATAAGGAATTTATCTAATTATTCTGTTTAATCCCACATAGGGTGGCAAAAATAAACACAGCTGGACATTAGTTAAAACAGTGAAAATAGATTCTGTCTAATAACTACTGATCATAAGGAGAAGCTAAGTGCCATACAGATTTGTGCAGAGGTGACTAGCATTTTAAAGAGAGAATGGGGCTTGGGGGACAAGCTGGGGCTCGGAAGAGGCAGAGAAGTGAAGCATTGCAAGGGTTGGTCCTCTAAGTGCAGCCATGGGGCTGTGTCTGCTGGCTGGCGGTTGCGAAGGTAGGATTCTGTCCTCCCAGAGACTGGGAGGGTGGGCCCTGTGCTTCTTGACGATGACACCTTAAAGGAATGACTCTTAGGTCCTTGAGAAAGACTTCTGAGTTATAAAAAATGCATGTTCACAATCGTAGGCCCTTTGGTTTGATGCTGTAAGAAAGCATGCTCAGGGGCCTTTGTCAGCTGTTGGCCAGAAAACAGACAGTAGGTTCTCCTGGCAGCCCTAAACTTTCTCAGGTAGGCGAGTCAGTGTGGCGGCACCGTCATCTTGGGGGGGTGTCTTCAGGCTGCCAGCAGCTATGCTAGAGTTTGGTCATCTCCTAGTGCAGAGGTTTGGATGGAGTTTGTTATGAGTTCTCCACCTCTCCGGAGTCTAGAGCAACTACTTCATGAATTTGTGTTGACTGAACAAATTTAAGTAAATTCAGTTCCTCTATTGAAAAAGGAAGGGGATCAACTAGAGTGCCTTCCACTTTACCTTAGAGCCGGGACACAGCAGTCACCCTCCATTCCTTCCTGAGCCCACCTTGCTGTTCTTGTTAGCAGGGCAGCTGTTGTCCCTCTTCTTGAAGGCCAGACCCTTCACTTGTGAGTGAGAGACTTGATCTCCTTACCACAGATACTCTGATTTTTTAAAAATAATAATTCAGTATGGCTCAATCTGTTAGAGAAATGATTAAATATATGCACATCTATTACAGGATTCTGGGCACAATTGAAAAGGGACCCTCAAATGCCTCTTACCCAGGGAATCATCCCCCACAGGGCAATGTTTCTGTAACATACTTTCATCAAACTTTCCCATCATAACATTTATCCCAGATTGTAATGTGTTTATCTGTATGATGATTTCTAAATACATGTCATGGAAACTCTGTCTTTACTTGTTCACCACGGAAAGGCCAACACCTCCCAGAGTGCTAGAACTACTAGATCTATTCCAAAATGACCAGTGTAATGATCAACAGCCTTCCATTCGACCTCGCTTTGTCCTCTAAGATAACACTGACCTTCTAGAAATGCTACTCAGTGAAAAATGGTGCATGAATGTTTGCGAAACGACTTGTGTCTCAATGATTGTTTTTCCCTTTGTAGATTCCTTACCTATTCCTACCTCTTGGCCTTCAACATGTGGCTGCTTCTTGCACCTGCTACCTTGTGCTATGACTGGCAGGTTGGCAGCATCCCTCTGGTCGAGACCATCTGGGACATGCGGAACTTAGCTACCGTCCTTCTGGCAGTTGTGGTGGCCTTCCTGAGCCTTCATTGTTTAGCAGCGTTCAAGGTAATTTTCTTAAAATTCACAAGAACTCTGCCTTTAAAGATGGTCTATACTCAAAAATGCTCTTTTCCTAGCACAGGGGGTCTGGGTCAAAATCGAATCTACTCTTTTGTCTAAAAGACTTCGTTTTTTAATATTTTCCAGGTAGGTAATACATGTTTCAAACAAACCATGGCCACTTCAGTCATATGATTTCTTTTGTTGTTTCTGACCCTATAAAACTTGGGTCTGAAATTTCATGTTTGCAAGCAGTAAATATTTTTTTTGCTGTGCTTGATGAATCTTTGAACTCATTTGTTTGATGTCAGGTAATGATAAATGAGAAAATGATAATAAATTCCTAAGTGCTTAGAATATGGTTAAGACTCTACTTCCACTAACGGCTGCCTGCCCGAGTTGGTTGGGTGAGTCTCACTTCAAAAAGAAAATGATATGAAGCTGAAACAATTGATCAAAGGTAGCAAAGCACTTAAAAATATTTACTTACAAAAAACTGCTAGTGCATTGGGTCAGATGCTTCTTGCTTGAAAGTACTCCTGTCCCCTGGATCTGGTATTAAATACCCACAGGTTTATTGGGAAGATGAGGCTGATTTGCTTTAGGAGAACAGCAGAGCACCTAGAAATTTAAGGGGGAGATTTTGGAAGCAAGAGGGCTGAAGAAGGCTGAGATAATATGCTGTCCATACACTCATGGCTGACTGCTTAATGTATGTACATGGGACCACTAGGGAACACAGGCAACGTTGAAAGCTTAGGGAGACTTGCTTGTTTGCTATAAATGTAAGTGAATTCTTCAACCCACACGCAGACTGGGCAGCAGAGAGTGGAAGCTTCACTGGCTGTGTTGTCTGTATATAATTCTGTTGGAATCATTGGCTGATCATCAAGCTATGTAGGCGCAGAGAGATCCCCCGGAGATGCAGGCAAAAGGGGGGGAAAAAGAAACTGAGCAAATTTTCAGCTCTCTACAGAGAAACAGATTTTCCAATTTGAGCTCAGGCAAGTTGCACCATCTATTAAAACAGGAAAACCAACAAATTCCAAAAGAACAAAATAGAACACAGAGTCACTACAATGTGTGACCTACAATGTATAGTTTTTAAGCAGATTACTGGACATGTAAAGCAACAGGAGAGTGTGACCCAAACTCAGAGGGAAAAATAGTCCATAGAAAGAGGAACAGAATCGCGATGCCAAAGGTAACCTGGCTCTTACATGCTCAGTTGATTTTTAGCAAAGTTACCAAGGTAATTCAATAGGGAAAGGAAAAGATAGGCTTTTACACAAAAGGTACTTACCTCTTATTGTACACTTAGAAATTAATTCCTAAACAAAATATTCCTAAGAAAATGAAATAGCACCAAGAACTCTAAAAGAACACAGGAGAAAATCCTTGTGAACGCAAAGATTTCTTAGGACACATAAAGTACAGACCATAAAAGGAAAAGGTGTTGAATTAGACATCATCGACTTAAAAATTTTGCTCATCAAAAGATAATGTTAATTGAAGCACAACAGCTTGTATCTGGGATTTAAAGAGCTCTTAGAACTCAATAATAAGAAAATAACTTACTAGAAATGCATGAAAAGTTCAAATAGAGACTTTACAAACGTGTAATAAAGGTTATCAAACACATGAGTTAATGAACACATGTAATGATAGTCATCATTAGTCATTAGGGAAATCCAGCATAAAGCTCTGAAGAGATATCACTGCACACCCACCAGAATGACTATCTGAAAAGATTCACAACGCCAAGTACTGGCCAGAATGTGGGGCAGCTGGAACCCTCATACCTTGCTGGTGGGAATGAAAAATAGCTTAGCCACTTTGGAAAAATTAGGCAGTTACTTAAAAAGTTAAATATAAAAATAAGCACTTCTACTCCTCAAGAATAGAAGAAAACTGAGAAGCGATGGCAACTTCTATCTGCACAAAAGTCTTATAAGTAACTATTCATAGCAGCTTTAATAGAATAGCTGAAAAGTGGAAACAACCTAGCAGCCTCGTACTGTAAATGGATAAACAATGTGGTAACTTATTCAGAAATTTAAAGGAACAAATAATTTATGACACGTATGAAACAATACAGAATAACTGCAAACACATCTTGCTAAGTGAAAGAAGCCTCACATATGCAACTACTTACTGTAGTTCCCTTCATAGGAAACATTGTCATTATAATTCTGCCTTTAGACATAGGAAAGTCTGGAAAAAGCAGAATTGTAATGACAGAAAACATGGGGATGGAGATTGATAAAAGATTTGAGGGTACATTTTGGGGTATGGAATGCTTTTTAAAATTTGATTATGGTGATTGTTGCTATACTGCATTCATTTACCAAAAATCACTCATATAAGCCCATAAATGTGTGATCTGTATCATAATAAAGCTGAATTTTTAAAAAAAGATTAAATGTTACAAAGCATGGAATGAATACAGAACTGAAGTTTGAATATCAAGACACAAAATATAATCCTGAAATATTTGATGAAAAAATTTTGTTCTTTGACGTGAAATTCACATAACATACAATTAACTATTTTAAAGTGTGCAGGTCAGTGATATATGTAGCGTGTCTGCAGTGTTGTGAGCCTTTCTGATTTCAAAGCTTTTTCTTCACCTCATTGAAAACCACCACACCGATAAAGGGATCACATCTCATGCTCCCCCGCCCAGCCCCTGGGAACGTCTCATCTGCTTTCAGTCTGTATGAGTTTGCCTATTTTGAATATATTATATAAAAGGAATTATACAATATGTGACCTTTTGTGTCCGACTTTTTCACTTTACATAGTATTTTTGAAGTTCATCCAAAATACAATTGTAGCATGTATCAATAATTGTCCTGTTTTATGGTTGAATGATACCCCGTTTGGTATATATATATATATATACCACAATTTGTTTATCCATTCATGTGTTGAACATTTGGGTTATTTTCACCTTTTGGCTATTAAGAATGTTGCTACTATGTACATTCATGTACAGGTTTCTGCTTGGACATATGTTTTCATTTCTCTAGGGTATATACCTAGGTGCCTGGTCATGGTGATAAACAATGTTTAACTTTTTGAGGGACTATTCTCCACAGTGGTTGCACCATTTGATATTCTCACCAGGAATATACAGGGGTTCCTATTTCTCTACATCTTTGCCAATATTGATTATTTTTCATTGTTTTCTTTAAAGCCATCCTATTGAGTGTGAAGAGGTATCTCATTCTTGATTTGCATTTCTTTAATGGTCTCTGAAGGATATCTTTTCCCGTGCTTATTGGTCATCTGTGTGTCTTTGTAGAAATGTCTACTCAAGCCTTTCGCTCAATTTTTAATTGAAGGGTCTTTTTGTTATTGAGTTGTAAGCTTTCTTTATATATTCAGGATTATTAAATCTCCAACGGACAGATGATTTGCAAATACTTTCTCCCATTCTTTAGGTTGTCTTTTCACATTCTTAATAATGTCCTTGAATGCACAAAAGTTTTCAATGTAAGGAAGTCCAACTGATTTTCTCCCTTTGTTATTCACTGGCTTTTGGTGTCAAATCTAAGAATGCATTGTCAGATCCAAAGTTGTGAAGATTTATGCCTCTGAGCTAAATATAAATAGGAACTACATAAAAATAAAGTATAACTTGAACTAAAATATCACCTTCTTGGTACAGCCTAGTGTAAGTAACCTATTTAAAACACATCACACAGCCTCCACTCGACTTAACTCCCTTTCACTTTTCAGTTTTTCTTCACTATACATCCAGTTTCTAAAGCGCTTCATAATTTTGTGATTTTATGTAATGCCTTTTCCCTCCAATGGAGTGTAAGCCCCATGAGTATAGAGATTTTTTATTTTTTCCCTGTTTCATTCACATACTTCCAGCATCAAGAGTTTGCCGCATCCAATGTTTATTACCTAAATTTTATTGTTTGCCACTCAGTGTCTATTATCTAGATGAATAAAACTATAAAAAGTTAGTAACTCTGTTCAGTTACATTTGGGTATGGAGACCTCCCTCACCCCCTTTTTTTAGATGAGCTGCCTCTAAAACCTATAAAAGGACCATAGTCAATACCAGTGTGAAATACCTGGGGGTCAGTAGAAGTTTGTGTTATTAGAATCTGGCCTTAGCTCATGATTGGCACGCCTGCTATGTTGTCACAGATCTGCAGGAGCAAATTTACAAGAGAGCTGGATTGGTGTGTCAGTGAGGGCTTAACTCGACTCCCTCCGGGCCGATTAAAGGGAGCGGTGAGTCCCTACAGGCTGTCATACAGGTCCGGTGTGTTAAATATGGACCTTCGTGTAGGCAGCAGAGCCCACACACAGCCACGCCTTGGCCCTCCCCAGAGTGTCTTTGATAGTAAGACGGATGAATGGAAACTTCCTTCATGGAAGGCTGTTAATCCTTTTCTTTCACAGAATTCCTTCCAGAATCACTTTAATGCATCAGGAAAAATATTAGCCACGCCGTTCCAGCAGTGGAATCCAGTAAGATTGAGCCCTTCCGTGGTGGCTTTCATCTGGAAAATCCTTCCAAACACTCAGTAAAGCCTTCAGCAATTCTAGGAGTCCACTTGCATGTCATACATGTCTTTTCTTTCAGAGTTTAGAGACAAGGGTGGCATCAGGTGGCCTCACTCTCTGTACTTGACCTGCTTATATACTAGAAATTTGTACAAGGCAGATTCTCCAGCCAGTTAGGAACCCCTTCTAGTGGGGATAATCCTTGTTTTTTCTGTGTGATGATTAGTTACAAAGGACATGATCTTAAGGGCTTTTGACTCCAGGACAATAAACAGTAGGACAAAGTTTTTGTGAAAATGGTGGTCCTGCTCCATGGACATTCTTCTGTGCTGAAAAGAAACAACGGATAAAATGTTGTAATAGTTTCAGCAACATAAACACAGTTTTGTCCACTTAGACCATTTCCAAATGGCATGTGTACTATATTGATAAGTGTTGGATTGAAATTATTTCATAATTCCTGGCTATGTCTTTAA